TACGTGGTTCGCGATCTTGCCGCGAGCGGAACGCGTGCGGTTCGCAGTGAGCCGGCGATAACGAGTGCCTCTACCAGGAGGTTACAGAGACAGTTGTCGCTTCAAAAATTTGTATAGCAAATTATACAGCGCCTCTCATAAATAGAAACTTACGGACTTTTCGCTGGTAACCTTTCGTGGCGGCGCAACAGGTTGGGATTTCGTCACAACAATGCTGGCCGTCTGGTTGACAGTTTGTTTATTCGTGGGACTTCTGAGAAAACCATAAAAGGCAAATGAATAGTGAATTAATAACACATTTGACAAAGTATGAAACAAGATTGCTGCTACCACGCGAATAGGTTAACTAATTTTTTGCTTTAGCGCCACCAGTGAGAAATCTATGAAAGCTTAAAAACCAAAAACAAAGATCTGCAACAAGCACATATAAATTCATAAGGTTCACTAGTTTGTTCCGTGACTTAGGGTCGTATTCTAAAACTCTACTTAATGCTCAAGTCAGGATTGCACTGGAAACACAAGCACTGGAAATACGACCCTAATGGCAGGGATTTGAGTATGATTTCGAGTGCTTTAAACTATACTCAAATCCTGACTTGAGCATTGAGTAGAGTTCTAGAATACGACTCTTAGTTAGCTTAGCGTCTCGCACGGTTTGCTGAAAAACGTTTTTTCTTAGAGTTTATCTTTGTATTAATAATAATGATTAACAACTAATGGAGTAATTTCACAAAAATGTCCCGGTGGTTAAACAGCGTGATATTCAATAAACTTAAAAATTACATACGATCAACAGCTTTAAAATAAGTCCTACCTTCTAGGTGGTCGTTTAGGCTCTTTTGGTTCAGGCGATCTTGGAGTAGGCAGTGGGGCTAAAGACTCTGGGAAAGTTTCGTTCTCCAGGAGATAGTTATTGTCTGCACCGTCCAGGTCATCTAGGTTTGAGATCAAGTCGCCATTGTTATGAGGTAACTGAAAATTGTTTGAACTTAATCAGTTAAAATACATACCTACATATACTATAATAATAATTATGACGCACACATTCATGGCCCCGCACTAGGGAAGCCCTGTACCGCGGGTGCCATGAATACACATAGACAACCACAAATTATACCCAAATTCACGAGAGAAATAAATGTGGGCCGTACAAATATTTCTTCCAACCCAGGAATTCAACCCGGGACCTCTGCGTGGCAGAACAGAATGGTATAAGATGTTTTGGATCATAGACGACACACAGATTGTCGTTTGATGATGAAGAAGAAGAGTTTGTAGTTTGTCAGATTTAGGTAACTTACCTCACGTTTTATAGAATTCATATTTTTATCCGGTTTATGATTATGATTGAGATCTCCGGATCCATTTACTAGGTTTTCTATTTTCTGCAAAACAAACAGAAAACGTTGTTAATTAAAATGTCACCCACTTCAAGGCTTCATCGAAATAGAAAGAAAGTTTCAAGTAACTGCTGCCAAATTGATCGATAACAGGCTGTAGCGAAACTTAACCAAAAGAGTTAATGAGTCGATACTACCTTAGTTCGAATTCCAATTAGTCTCGTACGTAATAAGGTTTATTTTGCTTGAGTCGAGCGACAGGGACTTTATTTCAGATTTGTCACATTTTATTTTTTTATAAACGAAATCAAAGCCACTTGAAAAATGTATGTCGTATACTATTTGTGTTCTATTTAGTTCAGATGATGTAAAATCAAATTGGTATACGTAAAGTACCTATCGCAAACAGCGGTGTTTTTGTAAAATTTCTTGGTAAGTTTGTGATTTTTTTTTTTGAAAATTTTTAGGTTCGATATTTTCATAGCGTACACTAATCAGTGTATATCTTCAATTTTATTTTATATTTTTTTCCAAAGTCAATGATTCAACACAGTCAGTATTGACTGTTAACAGACTTTGAATATTTATAGTCGCTGTTCAGTATATGCAGATCCGAATAAGTTTGGTCTTCTATATAGCTTCTAAAATAATAATGTGCCAGACAACCATGGATGTTGTAAGAACATGTCCGAAACGACGAGGTAAAGAAAACGTGTTTATACACGATTAAGTTCCGATTTAAAATCAAATAATATATGACTAAGTAACAAGGGAAAACTTACATGATTCGTTTTTTTCGTGGTCACTCTTGTCGACGTCGATTGTTTCACTGTTTTCTTGTCCGTCAGCCTTGAGCTGCTCGATATCGTATTAGGTGATGCTTTGTTGAAACCGTTGGTTGCTTTCCTAGGAACTGCTCGATCCGTATTGTGTAATGGTTGTAGAGGGTAACTCTTGTCTATGCCTTTTGTACGCCTCTCTTCGAACATTTGACGGACCTGAGACAATGAATTTCCAATTACGATTTAAATTTAAAGGTTTGAGAATTAAAGTTTGAAAAAGTTTTAATGTGGCGTCTGACCGGATAATTTCGGCGTAACATGATACAAATATTTGCATGGTCAGTACAGCGAGCCGAACCAATCGCGCGGCGCACCAGGCGATTGTCGGTATCCTTAGCTTCTCCACACTCGCGAAGCGCAAACTTGGCGTGAATGCGACAAGGCTGCACATTCTCTTGCCACACAGTTGCCGATAAGTAAGTGTCGCGGACGGTTGGTTTGTGTTTTTATTGTTGACGATTTGAACGTGCCTAAAATGGTTGTGAGTTGGACAAATGAACTAGAACTCACATTTTTAGATTGTTCCAGCATTCTTTTTAATAACTTTTTTTCTTATAAAAGCATAATCGCCAAAGCTCAAAGCAGTCCCACAGTAGCAACAGCAAGTCCATCTTCGCAGGCGCGCGAACTATACTGTGCACCAGGCGTGTAACTCTGCAAGTGTGGAACTGTGGCAGTTTATGCCACGATCCGCACCGCAATTCGCGCCCTTTTGAGTGTTACGTTAGGCTAATTTAGGTCCGTACAGCTCGGACAATCGTCTCGAGCGCATTCTCGGGAGTACATACATATCGAGCCTCATCGCCTGTTTTTTTTAAAAACAATGGAGTGGGACAGGGATAAAACTCTGCTATTTATTGATAAATATAAATAACGTTCAATGTTACGGGTTAATTATATAATTAATTTTATAATCTCAAGTACGACTTCGTCATTTGACATTTCGACTGCGAATGTGGAGCACGATCGAGCGCAGAGTTCGAAACGAGCAACGACACCAGTCTGTCTGCTAAGCCGTAACGTAACATGCTCGTCGCGAATGTTACGTTACGCCGCAATGATCCGGTCAGTGGCTGCCTTTAGATATGATACGAGAATAGCAGAGCAATAGCATGGTATGATAAGACAAGTATGGTAGTTCAATACAAGTGTAGCAGCACGGTTTGGATATGTGCGCGCCCACTGAGTGCCGTGTACGGATGCACACATTCGCATATTTTCGCGATGATAATACAAGGCGCGCGGCGGACGTCCACACATACAAACCGCGCGGCTGCGTATGAATGGAGTTACCATACTTGTCTTATTTATGGAAATGCCAGAAATCATTGGCATATTTATGCTATATCTTGCAAGATTATTCTGTCTCTAGGAGAGTATGGTATTCTCATATCAGAGAAAAAGTATCGAACATTGCTGTGGTGATAAAGATCAGTTACCTTCCCAGGGTGCATGGGTACTGGCGGCTGAGTCGACGGACTAGTAGTCTTTGCGGTGTTGACGCCGTTGCTGGGCGAATGTCTGACGCGGTCCAGCGCTCTCGCCTGCTGTGCTTCGTAGAGTGACGCAATCTTCATCTCACGTTCTTGCATTTGCTTCTGTTGAAAGCGTGCCTACAAAAGAAAAGTAAATATTAAGTCCACATTTTTTGTTGGAAACAGGTAAATTCATCAAATTTACCGAGGGTTTGCTAATAATACATATGAACTGCAGTGACGTTATTATGTTCACTTATGAGTGAGGAATGGAAAAGCGGGAGCTTTGATTTTGGGTCGATAACAAATAAAACAGCCTTCCCCACAAGCTGACGCCGTTTGTCATTTGTCAATATCAGGATTGAATGTCCGGCCATGCTGTCGACGCTGCTGTACCTGTCGCGATTACATTACCCCACGAAGTCTGAGGAGATGTGGAGTATATTAGGCTAAAAGCCAAAGATACCCTGAGGGTCAAGCGGTTGAAGTCCAGACACAACGTGAATTTTAATCCGTTTGTAGTGAGAGTACCTTCGGTTGCCTGCCGGTTACTTGATATCAGATTGCGCCACACGTCGCCTACAAGTGCAATTCGTGTTAGTTTATTATATTGTTATATTATATTGTATGTATCTTAGTCCTTAAGGTATATGTATAAGGTATAAGGTCATGTGGCATGAATGAAATTACTAAAAAAAATTTAAATGAGTTGTTTATGGAGATGGGTTCGATTGTCATGCTCCTTCTGTCCGTCTACACAAAATTTAGTGCTTTTATACATCCTCATTGGTGAAGGGTACTCTTGATCTGGCCTTTCTTTAGGGCGTCCTCAATTTGGTCATGATAAGTTCGCATTGGTCGGCTCTTATCAACTTGCCCGCACACATTCCTTTTTCTATCTTCGTAGCTACATCTTATTTCACGCCACAACTTTCTCTTTTACCTTTATTACCCTGCCGTGTAATTTGTCCAAAAGAATCACAGATAAGTTTTACTTTTATTTTGTAATAGCAAGTAACAGGGCGAACAAGTCGTGCGTCTGTTGGTAACTGACACGCCTATCCATGACAGGTGCAGTGTCAGTCAGAGCTTTAATTCCCAAAGTTCTTAGAGGCACTGCCACTGCGCCCGTTACTCTGAGACATAAGTTGACAAGTCCCATGTGCCTGTAATTTCACCACCACCCTTACCCTTCCAAATACTACTGCTTGGCGACAGAAATAGGTAAGGCGGCAGTACTTCCCTGGACGAACTCTTTTACAAGGAGCTCTATAGCCACTAATATTTGGAGTATGACTTGGACTCATAATATATATACAACATGGCTGACGAGGTTACTTGTAAAAACATTTTCCAAAGACGATAGACAAATATAGATGATTATCATTCTTGCTAAGTACATACATAACATATGATTAATTTACCAATAGCTTAAAAGCAAAACCGGTATCTCCTTTCGCTCCTTAGATCCTAACGGAAGCCCTTATGAGTACAGTTATTTGCCTCTAACTACAGACATTTCAAACGAATACCGCGTAAATTAATTTTAACTAGCAGAGAAGTTATAGTTAAGTAACCTAGAGATTGCCTTATCTACCAATAACGCTGCCTGTTGTTATCTGCATTAATATATAGATTTTTTTTAAAGAAACGTTCTCTTTAGAGACAATTTTCAGTCAAGTTAAAACCAAAAACAATTGTAAAGAATTAATTGAAACCAATGTAACTAGCACTTAAACCTCTCGTTTCTACTTAAGGCAATGTGATCAGATTTGTCAAATTATGCGAGGTCACATTGTTTAGTTATTAAATGTTAAGATAAAGCGAATGTGGCTGAAAACATGAGTGAAGTAGACTTCGACGTAACATTTCGATCCGATTGGGATTGTCCTCAAGACTGCACTGAGGCAGTGATACGTAATTGCGAAACAATTGCGTTTGTTTTATCCCTTGCTGTATCTTTATTACTAAATAAATTAATGTATAATATATTTAAGGATTCAATCTTTAAATCACACTCTTTAGAAACACGATTATTTGTAGTTTTCTGGATAGAAAAAAAATCCGAAGTTATCTCTAAAAAACAAAATAAAAACTTAGTACGGCGTAAATACTTCACGGAAGGTCATCAGTTCTTGAATAACAAAACTACATATTTTCTATAACGTGTACTCCGTACATATTCAAAACGTATTTCTGTTATAACAATACCAAGTAGGTAAATACTTAAATTTAGAGATGAGAAATACTACTCAATTTTTTAACGACAAAACGTTCCTTTTTTAAAAAGCGTGCTTTTTTTAAACGCGTTTCACTTAAACGCCTTTTAGTTTGAAGCGTACAAAATAGTTTAGAAAAATGTTAAAGGCGCAGACTTTTATGTTAAAAAAAGCTTGCAACGTTGTGTTGATAGCGAAAAGCAACAATAAACCACAGACCACTAAAGGTTTTAAGATAAGTAAGTTTATTTGTAAAACACGAGTTTTATTTTTATGTATAAAATTATTATTAACATCGACGAATTAATTTGTTTTAGGAAACATAGATGGCGGGACTTGAAACATAAGGACGTTGTTACGCTTACGCTTAAATTGAAAAGTGTGCTTATGTGTTTATTTTGAAAACTTTTTAACCGACTTCAAAAAAAAGAGGAGGTTCTCAATTCGACTGTATGTCTTTTTGTATGTATGTTACGCGTTAACGCTGTCTGTGAACCGATTTTCATGATTCTTTTTTTGGTGGAAAGAGGGTACCTCTATAGTGGTCCCATTTAATTTCGAAGAAGATTCACGCATGAAGATTCATTTTTATAAATAACGCCTTAATTTTATTCTAAGGAGTAATTATTTTAATGGCAGATTTTGCTATTCTCCAATTCAAGGCAAAATTCTCTCAATATATTTTGAGTAGTGAGACTCGATTTTTATTATCTCCTGTGTTAAGTTCCATATAGTGGCGAACTAGGGGTTGAATCAGGGTTTGCGCAGTTTCCGGTAACCGATTTCAATAAAACTTGGCAAGTTTTTCCATGTACTTTTGAGGTCGGTTTTTTTGGTACTCCGTACTGAGATTATATTATTTAAGTGCTTTTCGTTTAAACGCCCACCTCTATCTAAATTCCCTTGTGTATTACAGACCAAAACCAATTCAGAAAGTTCACTCCCTAAATTACTCCCATAGGAAATCAAAATCGGGACCTTCTTCATCCAGTGTCAACAGGGCAAACCTGTTGGTCTTCAAAAGTATCAAAAATCCAATGTACGAAGACTGATGCGAGTTTTGTCGAGCTGAAAGAGATTTGTCGGGAACGAAGCGAATAACCCCAGTAGGATAGGCAGCCATGAGGGTATGTATAAAGGACGGGGCTATACCCTGCTCATAATCGTTGCGCTCTCGAATCGCTCACACAAGCATGTCCCATCTCTACTCGTATACACTGTGTCCGAAAAGCTGCACCTACGAAGACCTGCCAAAGGCAATTGATAGAGGTGGCTGCTTAATGGGCCTAATGATATTTGATATTTAACATTAATTTATTGGTTTGTAATTGATTCGACAAAAAGAAAAGAAGGTATTATTTGTGTACTTTAGTATTGTAATAGTTTTGAAGAATAGATTTTAGCTAAAAATTATCACAATCGCTTTCGCTTCAGCTCCTTTTATGTTCACAGTTGATAACGCGCAGGCGTAAGGTACCTGCGCCCACGCGCCATTGCACACGGAGACAACCTGTCAATCGTCGATACACTTTATTCCATTGTTCGGCTCAAGTGCTTCCGTCATTCGACTTCCGTCAAGGTCATACTGCTGTTTTATAGATGTGAAATAAATGGATTGAACAGAAGTTTAATTTGAAAAGGTAGCCATTGCCGATTTCTTTTGTTTGTTCGAAAATTTAAAACTTACACAATGAAAGAATGTTATGAAGAGTCACCAGACTCGAGAAAATGAATGAATGAAATAGAATGAATTTAATTGAAAATTTGACACAATTTTGTTAGAATATAATGCTTGGCCATCAAAAGCATTTTTTATGTCAAACTGTTGTCGCTCTCACTTGTTTTCAGAAAAGAAGTCATATGTGCGTACTCCGAAGAATTCTCGGACAGTCTCGGAAATTCTCGAAGTTACCGTATCGTATGTACTTTGTACGTCATACAATTGAGTTCATTATGATAAGTTTAAGAAAATTCACCGATTCGCGGAAAAAAAAAACAGCACTTGCTGTATTAAAAAAAAACAGTTTTGCGATACCAGTCAAGGGGGACACTGGGACAGTGGGAGTCAAGGAAGTTGACATGATTAATCAGCCAATAAATGATTGATCTTCAACCAACCAATTGCATCATATCGTCGCCTTATTTTCTCAATCTCGTATCGTAAGCATAAAGTAACTGAAATGCAAAAAAACGCGTTTTATATACTTACTTAAATTTACATTCCACATTACATTTCATTCATATTCACACACATTTGGCTTTTACCGATCTTAAAGTAATGTATACAAATTAACATCTTTGCCACGTAACGTAACATGCCAATATTTGTCAGCAAAACGACAGTCAAAGCCTAAATCTGAACTACAGGAAAATTTGTCAAAATTATTGATACGCGATTTGATCGTTTGCGGCATTGTTTGAAAAAAAAACGTGATGTTTGAAGGGTAAATTTGACAAGCAAATTGAATCGTTTACAGAGCGCTTTACTTAGAAATTACAGTCATATGTATAAGCTGTCGGCTTAGAACCGTGTCGGCCTCTCAATTGAGTTTGAATTTAGAATCAACCATTCACCAACTAAGCTTCATATCGCTGATACCATAGTAGCTCTTTCAGTTTCGATATTTTAGGTTACATTTTCGCAATAACGCCTATATTAGCCTGTTTCGATAAAACTAGAATTACTGCAACTCAGACTAGAAAAAAGTACTGCACAAACATGTGTGCGGCGACTCGACACTAATGGTCATTAGTATGTGCGACAGTTGTGACACAGTTGCGGCATAGTTGCAATGCAGTTACGGTCACTTGTTCAGCATAATGTAATCCTTGTCTTGTTCTTTGCTAATCTTGATTTGAGGTTTTGAATGCTCGAAGTAGATTTAAAGATTAATTAACTTTGATAATAATTATTAAATC